GGAAAGAGCACGAGCAAGAGGGAGAGCAGAGAGAAACAGATGCACAGTCCCCGGAGGAGCTAGCCCCCAAAATGCTAAGGATGTGTGTAGGGGAGGGGGAAAAGCAGGGAAAATAAAGCCAGGCACCGAAAACTAAAGCAGAATCCAGATGGAGCCGTCCAAAACCTGCTGTTTTGCTGTGGCTGACGTGCAAATCTCCTCCCCTGTCCCCCCCCTCCCTTTGCTTCCAACAGCGGAGGACAGCGAAGTGTCACCGGTCCTCAAAATCCCCGGTTTGGTCCCTTTTTTGGATTTACTGGGGAGGAGAAGCCAGCGGTGACAGGTATTGCTGAATTTTAAGGACTATTTAAACAGGGCTGAGCATCAGATTTGCACCTGCAAAAGAGGAGCCCAGCCCAACATCTCCATCATCCTCCACGTTATCAGCATCCCAAAGGCAGCTCTGATCCCCGAGGCTCCTCTCCTTCCCCTTTGCTCTTTTTAAATAAGACATATTTCGTAGCGAAAGCTGTGCCGGGCCACCCTCTGATTAGATTCTGACCTATGGAAATTCAGTCCTCTGATTAGATCGCATCCCTGGAGAGATGCGATTTTTGCTAGCGAGCAGTGGGAATTCAGTGGCGACATCCAGTTTAAGGAAGAAAAAAAAAGAGGGAGGGGGAAGGGAGAGATAAATGAAATGTCCTTTTAAATCAGGAGTGACACATTAATAAAAGGAGCACATTGTAACATGCTCAGCGCTTTCAATTACAAAATAGCTGCGAAGGAGGAGGCAGGTTTCACCCCGGCCGTGCAAGCAGAGGACGCGGCTGGATGCTTCCACCGAGGCGCTGGTAGAAAGCCCCATTTCTGCCCCATTTGAGCATCCCATCGGGGATTTTTGCACGTGAGAGCAGCAAATCACTCCATGAAAATCTCTCGGGATGCAGCACGTGTTGCTGAACCCCCCCAGCAAGGCTGAGGTCCCCCCTGTCCTGTTGAGGAGAGGGAGCGAGAGAGTGGCTGGGGGGGCGGGTGTCCTGTTGAGGAGAGGGAGCGAGAGAGTGGCTGGGTGGGCGGCTGGCAGGCACCCATGGGCAACTCACTGCAGCACCCCTGGGTGCCCTTGAAAACCTCGGGGCAATGGAGCCTTTCAGCATGTCCCAGCCACTGCAAAGCAACCCCTCCACATCTTCCCCACATGCCTGATGTTTTATTAACCTACATTTAAATTAAATATTAAATTATTAATATCGACCGGCACTCCCATTCCCTGATTTCTCACCTCCCAGCCCTTCCCAAAAAGTTAACCTCAAACCGATGATGGGCTTTACCCCTTCGGGACATATCCCCAGGGTTCAGCCTGTCCCCATCCTTGCACATGGGGACGGCAATTTGGAGCAGCAACAGCGTTTCCAAGGATCAGAGTGAAGCCATGCTTCAGGATGGAACTGGAGGAGAGGACACATGGGGACGCAGCTGCCCCATCTGCCCCTGCCGTGTCCCCCCCCCATCCTTCAGGTGCTGACACATCCCCCTCGGCGGAGGCGATGGGGAGAGATAGTATTAACACATCATCATTTTAATCAGCCCATGATTAGCGGGGCTCATACATAATTCACACCAATTCCTCCACCACCTTCTGGCACTCACTTTTCCAAGCCGGGGCCAGGATGGTATTTTGGGGTGCAAATACAAGGAGGGAGGGGGGAAAAAGGGACCAGGACCCCCCTAATCAGCACAGGGCTGATTTTCATCATTTTCCAGGATCTAAGGCATTTGCTGTTCGAGGAGGCGCTTTGCCCCTTGCAGAAGAGCCAGCTGGGATGCTAATGGATTGCAAATCACCCCCCCAAAAAAGTAGGCAGTGATCCTGCTCCCTGTTCTCCACCGGAGGAAGATGATGGTTGGTACAAGGGGAGATTACCGGCCTGCAAGGGTTCACGGCCGTGCGTGAAGCCCCGGGGACAGGGATGTCACCCGCCGCACGCCGGGGCTGAGGAGCATTAAGCAAACGTGCTTTGACTTGCAGCACTTCGCAACATCTTGTTCATTAAAGATTAAACACCAGCAGTTGCTCCCATTCCTGTGAGCAC